CTATCATCAAGTTTCTAGAATATAGCACACTGAACAAATTCGCTGCCTAGTGGTATTTACCATTTCAGTACAACTTTGTCGGAAGAATTCTTGGACCTCGTGGTATGACAGCCAAACAGCTTGAACAGGAAACCGGCTGCAAAATTATGGTCAGAGGCAAAGGCTCTATGCGCGATAAGAGAAAGGTCGACTACATCTAGAGCAATAGCTTATATAGATGCTAAAGTAGCGTTTAAGGAGGAAGCTAATCGTGGGAAACCGAACTGGGAGCATCTGGATGACGAGCTACATGTTCTACTGCAGTGCGAAGACACTGAAAATAGAGCCAGAATCAAACTGCATGCCGCCATGGAGCATGTGAAGAAACTTTTAGTCCCTGCGGTTTGTTGACATATACTATTCTAAAAAATTATAAATAATGTCATTTGTTGAAGCCGGAAGGAACTGACGAGCTGAAAAGAAAGCAACTAATGGAGCTTGCTATAATTAACGGAACGTATCGACCATTTCACAAATCTGGACTATGTATGATTAATAGCTGCGTCAAATGTTCAATTCTCAATTTTTCTTTCCAGCCAATTCCAATAGGATTCTAACTCCTGTACCACTTGTATCACCAATTCGTGCTCCAATCTTCGTCTCTCCAACAAGCAGTCCTAACAGTGTTAGCATGCAGGTTTCGGCACTACTGACGGCCCTATTGGACCGCTCTCTCGTTGCGCCACTCTTTTTCGCAACTCTGATTGTGCGGGCGTGGAAAGAGCGCAAAGTTTCACGACCCCGCCGCTTTCCCCGAGAACAAGCAGATAAGCAAGCGCAATTCCTAAAGAACCTATCACATTTTCGACCCTGACTGCTTCCATGGAAAAACGTAGAGGTCTAGGTAGTGACAGAACTGAGGACGAAAAATTTCAGCTTGATGAAGTATAAGAGATGTAGAGGTGGTTGTCACCCTAAATTGAAAAATTCATTCTATGAACTGTCTTTCGTTGTTCTTAAGTGTATACATTCTATCAAATTAACCAGCGCTTTTAAGAGCAATGACACGCGAGCTAGAACCTTACGCTGCAGGAATAATACATACCTTTAGGACCACTTATCGTTATTTGCTTTGGAAGAAGGCATTTGGAAGTTTTATGCC